GCCTGCCTGCCTGCCTGCCTGCCTGCCTGCCTGCCTGCCTGCCTGCCTGCCTGCCAAAGGCTGATGAGTTCATCATTGAAGCAGTCAACCTGAAGCAGGTGAGGAGGGTGAGAATAGGGCACGATGGCAAAGGAGGAAGCAGCGGCTGGTACCTTGGCAAAGTGATAGTGAAGGAAGACGGACAGCCAGAATGTGAGGCCCAAGAATTCCCCTGCTACAGGTACTAAAATCAGACTCAGGGATCTGTGGTGCTCTGTCTACCGGCCGGGCGTTTCAAGCCCTCAGGCCGCCCTTTCCTTTCGACACAAGAGGGGCCCCGGGGCTTTAAAACCCAAATCCTCCCTTCTGTCTAGACTTTCTCCCAAGAGAGAGAAAATGATGAAGCAACTTGGATGGCAGCACACATCTGTCAGGAGAAGTAGCATCAAGGCCTGGACCATAAAAACCTCAGCACCTGGTCAGGTGAATGCCTCTGGACAAAGGCCTCCAGGGCTATCTTAACCTCACAAGGGAGGACATGGCAACCAAACATAAATAAAACTGAATCACAGGATGTCCAGGAGTCTCTGTCTGAATGGTGGAACCCGTGCTTTGAACATCTGCAATGGGACAGCTTCCCGTTGAAAGCCAGAGGCATGCTGCCCTCTTTCCCAAGTGTCAGGCGAGGAGGACGGAGGGAATGAAGGAGGATGGAGAGTAGAGCGGGGGTGGAAGGCTTTGCAGATGCATTTTTTCCTGGTTGCAATACAGTCACTTATTTATTTATTTATTTATTAAAACATTTTTATGCCGCCCCATTCGCCGAAGCCTCGGGGCGGCTTACAACAATAAAATTAAAATAACATTTTAAAATATATACATTAAAATACAAATATATAATATAAAACATACAATTATAACCTTATCCTACAGATATCAATATTTGTGTAAATGCTACCTCAAAAAGATTAGAAGGCTGAGCTGCAAACCTAGCAGACAATATGTCAGAGAGTTTAAATATAATTTTCTTTACTACAAATGGTCTGGGGTCTCCAAAACTAAAATTCTAAATGGTTATTTATTTATTTATTTTATTTAAACAAATTCTATACTGTCATTCATTAAAAATCTCATGATGGTTTACACACACACAAATTATCCCTTAGAGAAGAAAGCTGCTGAAAGCACTATTAATTCTATTATGGTGAAACGTGGCATATTGGTAACTTCACAACAAAAGATATCTAAAGCGTTTAAAGATTATTATGAGCAATTATACAAATCAGAAGTAGCACCAGATGCAGTTATAAAAAATCATTATCAATTATCCCAATTTTGGAGGAACATAAACAACATCTTAATTCTCTGATAACATCTGTTGGAATGCAAACAGTTACTTAAAAAAATTTAAAATAGAAAACCTCAGGTTTTGATGGTTTTGCAGCTGATTTCTATATATGTGGGTCTCATGTTATTCCACATCTTTTAAAAATGCCTAATTCAAGATTAGGTAGAAATGAAGTGCCTGCATTTTGGAAATCAGTGAGAATATTAGCTATTTCAAAATCAGGAAATGATGAGCTACATCCCTTCTGTGTTTCACCCAAGTACCTTGCAAAATTGTGATCTTTTTTTTTTCATCTCTTTTAGCCCAAAGATTAAATACTTTTATAACAAAATATTCACATATAGATCAATATGGATTTATGCCAGGGAGGCATATGTCCAATGCAATACATTGAGTGTTATATATTTTCTGTAAGGCTTAATGGAAGAAACAAGAAGTAGCAAGTCTTCCAGTTGATGCGCTTAAAGCGTTTGATCATGTGCAATAGAAGTACATATTTGAACTTATAAAAATGATGAATATGGGGGAGACATTTATTATACTTGTAAAAATTAAATGAAGGGGCATGTTCAGTAATAACAATTCATGGTGTGGATTCTGAAAAAAATGTACTTTGTAGAGGTACAAGGCAGGGTGATCCTTTATCACAATTGATATGCCAGGAAGCACTTCCTGACAGTTAGGACCTGAGGGTGTGGAATCAGCTTCCACAGGAGGTCGTTGAGGCCCCATCGGTGCGAGTGTTCAAGGACAGGCTGGACGTCCACATGGTGGGCATGTCGTGAGTGGAGCCGGCTGGTGCCGGAGGCCAGACTAGATGACCTGGGAGACCCCTTCTGACTCGCTCTGTTTCTATGCTTCTATGATATTTCCTTTAGCCATAGAGCCCCTGGCAACTAAGAGAAAAAATATTTAATTATTATGTGGATGATATACTTCTTTTTCTTTAAAATTCATTTAAAAGTATAGAGTTTCTAAAAAGAATAATAGAAAATTTTAAATGGTATATGGGTTTAAAACTTAATTATGAAAACTCTATATTATTGTGTATAAATATCCTTTTAGGAAAAACAATAATATCTAATTTAGACATGCTTTTTTAGTTTAAAAAGTTTAGGAATCTAGTTAACAAAAAATACTAATCAATTAATTAATAGAAATTATAAGAATGAATATATATATATAATTGTATAAAGAAAAAAATTAATGGACCCAATTATATTTGTTGATACTGGGCAGACATGCAATAGTGAAAGCTTATATAACATTCTTATTTTTGTTTCAAAATATATCTTTGTATCTAGATGTTATAGAGAAATATAATTTTGGCAGGAAAGGGGAGAAGTTTATATCTGGAAATTATAAAAGGTTAAAATTTATAAGCAGTGTTAATTATAGACCTGCTTCAACAGGTGAATTGGCAGTTCCAAATTTAATAAAATACTATGAAGCTTTTCAAATAGCACAGGCTGGTAAACATATAAAAATAAATGATGCCCCTGACTGGACTCAGACCTAGGGATCAGAGGACACTAACTTGGTAGTCTCTCTCTTTAACCAGATTTTTAAAGAAATAAAATAAAATAAACATAATCCTCTCATTAATAAATTGGTTCTAATATGGCATAATTATATGTTTTTTTAGCTCCACATATGGCTCCATTATGCCCTATTTTGGATCATCCTAAATTTATCTGTGAAGATAAAGATACACAATTTAAGTTATGGAAATAAATTGGAATTTATAGGATAAGAGACTTATTTCTAAATTGAAAGCCAATTTCAATACAACAATTAGAAGATAAAACTCCCCAAATAGGAATCAATGCAAATAAAAACCATTACAATGTGGTTGCATAATACAACTGATATAAGAGTACTCACTACATTTGAAGAGTATTGTAGCAAAGAATTTAGTTTTTAAAAAGGGTCAGTCTCACTTATCTATAAGAATGAATACAATAGTAATATGAAAGCTAAAATGACTTGGGAAAAATCAATATTACTATATCGGAAAAGTCATGAGCAAAAATATGATTCTCAAAACTCTGTAAGTCAATATCAGCTAAAGCCAAAGAAAAGGGTTTAAAGACAGTCCATAGATGGCAATTGTGTATCACCAAATTACCAACCTGCCCCTACTCAATTACTTTGCTGGAAAAACCAGTTTACGGGGTTCAATTGAACATATGTGGTTGTTTTGTCCAAAAATCAAGTCTTTTTGGAAAGAAGTAATAGAGGAATTGAAGAAGCTAACTCAACAAACAAAAATTCCTAATGAAACGCTATACTTTTTTATGGGGAGAATGAGGAACCGAATGGTAAAGAACAGTCAGCGATACTTTTAGGAACTGCACCAACTGGAACTGTAAGGTTCTGGAAAGATGCCCAAGGATTAGGGCTCTGAGGAAACATCCCAACAGAATCGGATCAGTGCTGTTGATGGGAAAACTGACCACCCACTTTTGCGGGCAAGACATAGAGATGATTCTGTTAGAATCTGGTGTCCATTTTTGATGCATTTCTGAGGGTTTGATGGAGTGGGTGGACCACCCGTTTAATTACTGGTCTAGTAGGTTTTAATGGCAGAGAAACTGACCAATTAATAATTGATTCTATTAATTGAATTATTGTGGATATTAATAATGTGACTGTATATAGTTAAAATGCGACTAGGAAAAAAGTATTTTAAATGGCAGTATGAGGTAATCAAGAGTGGCACAGACTGCTAGTGATGTGTGGGGAATCCAGTTTGGGGTCAGAATCTGTCGGATTTCCTCAGCTTGGCTCCCCAAACTTATGTAGCAGGTAAGGAAGAGATTTCAATCAGAATTCTGCTTCCACACACATTGCTTGCAAGCTTTGCACAGCTACACGCTTTGCTTACTTTACACAAAGAATTGCTAGGTTTCAGGAGCATTTGCAGACTCGATCTCGGTTCAGCTTGCTTCTTGCTCAGGGCCTGCATGTGGGGAAGAAGCCCGGCAAGCACAAGAGGGCCCGGCCTGAAATTTGTATCCCTACTGCAGCGGAATTTGGCGGTCTTTCCTTCATCTGAGGTTTTTGAGTGGAGGTTGGATGGCTGCCTATTCGGGGCCCTGTAGCTGGAGATCTCCTTGTCCAGGCATGCTGGAGCTCAAGCAGGCAGGCCCAATGGGCTTTCCTGGCATCTCGCTCTGGGCTTCCCCAAATGCCCCCGTTTCCTGCAGTTGCTGATCATTTGGTGCTTTCCTGGTTTTTGCACAATTTGCCCCATCCGAGAAGGCCAAAATGCCTCCCTGAGGCTTAACGACGGGCACTGAGAGCTTTAAGTGAAATATGCTGGTGTGTGGGTATTTCTGGTATTTTGGCCCCGCCTCCTTTTCCTTTAGCCCCACCCACTCTGGAGTGTGGCCTCCAAAAGCTTCTCTGAAAAGGGATTTCACTGTCAGGCTAAGACACTGAGCATCCCTGGCCTGGGTGAATTCTGAGATCCCTCCCAACTCTATGATGCTGCAGGGCTTGAATTTGCACCCGCGGCTCTGAAACAGATGCCAGTGAATGGCTGTAAGGGCCACTTCCCTGGCATCGTGTTGAGACATTCCAGGGAAATAAAGGGCCCCACATTCCAGTTCTCCGTGCCAGTGACTCAAGGACCTCCCTTTTCCTGCAAAGAGAAAGTAGAGTGACTGTCTCTCTTGTGCAGGTAACATTATTATGCTTTTTAATGAGGCATTTAAAAAGTTGCCACAAGAAATGCTCTTAAATGACTGTTTCCCCCCTGCCCCACAGTTTAACCTTGAAGGTCCAAAGTGAAGTGGGCCCTGGAGCCCGGTGAGAACCTCCTCCTACCTTTGGCATCTCCGGCCTCCTCACCTTGTAAAATATGACATGGTGAACCTGTTCTAGGTGCA